CAGACTGCTGGGCCCCACCCCCAGGTTTCTGATTCAGTGGGTCTGAGTAGGGCCCAAGAATAAGCATTTATAGCAAGTTCCCAGGTGCTGCTGATCCCGCTGGCCCAGGAACCACACTTGGGGGACCCACCTCTGACTTTCTAGGGTGCTGTGCGTGTAACTAAACCACCATTCGAGTTCTGAAAATACTGATGCATGAAGAACAGTTCTTGTAGCTCAGAACACAGAGTGATCCCCCTCGCCCAGCAGTTTGGGAACACTTCACGAAGCAGACACGCCAACAGGAGTCAAGGCATCGAGCTTCCATTGCACCCGCAGGGACAGGGAGGAGGGACACGAAGTCAGAGCGTGGTCAGAGTCTGGTGAGTCTCAATAAGTTATCCTTCCGGGAGGAGATGGCTTGGTACAAGGCTCCGACAAAGGTTACGTGGCAAGTGTAAGCCTGGCGGGGCACTGGGAATTCCCCAGGCCTGATGCCACAGGACAACCCTGCTGGACGTCATTTTACGGCTCCCATCATTTATCCCTGCCTTACAAATGCAGCCTGGTCATCGGTGTATTCCCGACCAGGACATGGTGCCCCAGCATGGACCCCTGCACCAGACTCCATGCCTTCGTGCATGCTGTTCCCTCTTTTGGCATACCCTTCCTGGTCCTCTCGCCTCTGTAAGCCCTATTTGTCCATCAGGACCAAGATGAAATCTAACCGGAATGAAATTCTCCATGGGAACGTACCATCCACTCAGCCTACACTGAGTGTCTTTTTCTTCTATTCATATCCATTCACTGGGACTCTTGATCATCTTATTTTTTTCATCCATCACCATGTAGCCCCTTCTTGGAGAGACTACAAAGTGCTCTGCTTGAGAACAGGATCCTAAACAATAATAGATAGGATCCCTGCTCCAATACAGAAAGATCCATTAATCAAATAATTGCACTGGTGGGAGCACAATTACACTGAGAAGAGTGGTCGAAAGGAAGATGGTTTTAAGAGAATATATAAGGCCCCTGATGCAGACCTGTGGGTGGGTAAGAGGGGTCAGGGTAGACTTTCTGAGAAAGTATAGTTTGAGCTGAGATCTGAAGGATGCCCAGGACTTGGGTAGGTGAAGGGGGTGGGGGGTGGGGGGGAGTAGGAAGAGGGAAAGCTCTTATAATTGGGGGAACCAGCTTGTGCAAAGTTCCTACCATGGGTGGCAGCCTGGCAGGTTCAAGGAACTGAGAGAAGACTGGAACAGCCAGGGGTGAGGGATGGGAAGTGTGTAAAGAAAGAAAGAGGGAGCCCAGCCAGAGTTGCTCAGTGGTTGAATGTCGACCTATGAACCAGGAGGTCACGGTTCCATTCCCGGTCGGGGCACATGCCAGAGCTGCAGGCTCGATCCCCAGTGGTGGGCGTGCAGGAGGCAGCTGATCAATGATTCTTTCTCAACATTGATGTTTGTATCTCTCTCTCTTCCTCTCCCTCTCTCTAAAATCAATGAAAACTTTAGAAAGAAAGAAAGAAAAGAAAGTCGGAAGAGGGATTCATTGTGAGGCTGGGGACCTTAATGATCTTGACCTCTGACCTGAGAGCTAGGCTGCCAGGATGGGTTTTAAGCAATGGCATGACGTGGTCAGAGTCAGGTTCTGAAAGTTCGTTCTGCTGCTGTCAGGAGACTGGACAGGCCGAGAGCAAGGAGACAGGTGGGAAGGCTGGGGAAATAGTCTGGAAGATGAACAGGAAGTCTTGGACGAGGGTGATCGTAGTGGAACCAGAGGAAAGGTGGATGGAGCTAAAAAAATACGGGGAGGGGAATTGATAGGTTGTGGTGGTCACATAAGGGCGAGGGAGGAGTCAAGGGTGAGACTGTGGACGAGTGTCCACTTTGGAGGAGATGATACTGAGTTTGCCTTTGAACCTGCACATGGTGATGGGGAGTAGGCAGCTAATCGGGACCTCGGCCCTCTGCGCTGGAGTGGTCATGGGGTGTCATGGGAATGTGTGGTGGGTGCCGATGTCAAGGGAGAGAGCGTGTGTGAGAAAGGAGGGGCGTCTCCTCAGACTGGGCCATCAGCCCCTGAAGGGCAGGGCACTTGGAGGAAGGACAGTCGCATCCCACTGGCGGCATGGGGGATGTTTCTCTCATTTCTCATCTCTCCCTGCTCACCCAGTTCAGGTCTTCACTACGTCGGACCTGGATGCAGCCAGAACCTGCCAACCCATGGCTTCTAGAATTTCAGTATGCACGCTAGCAACTCGCGGATCTTGATAAAATGCAGCTTCTGGTGAATAGCTCTGGGCTGAAGCTCCCGGTGAGACGGGGCCACACTGTGAGCAGCGAGGGGTGGGTCTCCCTGGTCCTGTAGACCCAGCCTCTGCTCGGAAGCCTTCAGTGGCCATTCCGGCTCACGCACACCTTCCCACTGCTTTCCTTCATCCACCCTTCATCCCGCCAAACCAAAGCCCTCCCTCTGAACTCGTCCGTCTCCTTTGTTGTTCAGAGGGTCAGGGGCCAGCTGAGGCCAGCCTGCAGTCGGAGTGGCGCTACTGCCGTGTCTTCGAAGTTCTGCCTAAAAGCCCCTACCAGAGGATTTTGTAAAACTCCATACCCCCTCACACATCTTTAAGCTTACATCGACATTTTTAATCAGACATTGGTAGAAGGTGCGATTCCCAGTATGTTACTAGGATAAGCACTGATATTTTTAAGTAAAACTATTACATCACTGTTTGCAATTTATCCAGTAGAATCTAAACACCCTAGCAATCTGATACCTACCATCACCCATTTTAAAAATGCATGAACACACTCTTTGTTAATAGTGCTCCTTTTCTCCTTGAAATTTTATTTCTGTTTCACTTCCCCCGTGGAATTTCATCCTAATGTAATATATGTAATATATTTTTATGCTTAAAATTCTTTCATTTGTTTTCCTATCATATTTCTCTGTAACAATTTTATATGAAGTTAAAAGTTTTTTAATTTCCTGAAATCATAAAGCTCTAAGTGTTAACATTTTCTTCTAGTTTGAGTTATTGTTACAATTATTAATAGTGTACAGTTGATCAAAACGGCACAAGTGTATTACTCATTTTGATAAATAATTCATAAGCATAAAAACTAAAATTATATTGAAAATGCATCTCTTAGTGAGATGGGGATGCTGGGTCATTTTTTAAAATAATTTTTTTATTCCACGAATATTTTCAATTTAGTTGTATTAAATGCAAACAGAAGTACATGGGACAGGTAATGCAGTGGGTTCCGAGGGCAGGAACATGTTTTAGAAGTGGTTGTTAGGGTCAGACTTGCAGAATGTGCAGCATTTGGCCAAGTAAGGAAAGAATGAAAGAACATTCCAGAGAGAGGGAGCAGATTGACAGAGCAAGGGCCTACGTCGGACAAGATGGTAAGAGAAGTAGATCACCGTGACACCAACTACATTTCTTTTAATAATTTTTTTATTGACATACAATATACATACCTGTGTGTGACCAGGTCGAAGTGTGCTGTTTGCATTATCACATGGTGAGCAAGCCCATGTAGTTATCACCCAGGTCCAGATACAGCATATTGCTGGTTCTGGGTTATTTCTTCAACTTGTTTACTTATCCAAAGAAGAATATTGTTTTGTGGCATGAGACGTGAGACAAGGATCAGCATCAATTGTCTTTCCATTCTTTATTTAAATGCACTGAAAACCCACATTCATATCAACCAGTAGCTAGAAATAAAACTTAGATAAAGCAGGGTCACTCAGTTCTTGATCTGCTTCTGAGCTATATGCCAAAAATCACATAGTGCTCACTGACAATTTCATTTTAATTACTTCTGTTCGGTCTTCCAAATAAAAAGAGGAACTGGAGACCACCCAGCATGGAAGAAAACACATGAACTCGCTTGGATCAGAGTTGCTTGCTTTCTCAAGTTTCTAAGTGTCTCCTTGTGTGGTGGCCAGGAGCTTCGTCCTGGGCAGTGAACTCAGCTGAGACGCGGGTGGGAGGGTAAGAGGTTTGCCCTTCTCTTGTAGAGGAGGAGGTAGAAGAGGACAACTCACGTTTCTGTCAGCCATCCGTTCTAGAAGAGTTTCTATGGAAGTTGAAGATCTGGAAATTGATTCTCTGAAAACCTGGAGGGCGCGCGTAGCTTATATTAAAGTCTTCGTTTACTCCCAGGGGTTTGCATACCCCAGTTTGAAGTTCACGAAAGAACCTGTAAGGACTCAAACCAGACTAGACCAGCCTCTTCACATTTCCTAGCTCGTGTTTCTAAGAGAGGGCATCTATTGGCCCAGGCTAGTTTCGGTGCCAGGCCTCATCACAGGCTTCTGGCCAGGTGACCAGCCCTGGCACAGACGTTTCCCTGAGCAGGGACCACCAGGAAGCAGGAGCTCTGTTGACCTCACAGGCTAACTAACAAGGGCAGTGCTCTTACAAGTACTGCCTCCAGCTCTGTTCGCTGGAGATGCGCTCTCCAGTCTGTGAGGTCCCACCCTGTGGTTTTTACCTTTGATTTACATGCGTCTCTTCCCTCCTTGTATCGTACTTACACATGGGCCCATCACCTTTTCTAACTGCAAGCTCCTCAAGAGCTGGCCCAGGTCTCAATCACTTCCTAGCATTGTGCCTTACACTGAGGGGGTGTCTAATAAGTATTTGTTGAGCAGATACATTGATTCATGAATGTCTTCAACTTCTTCGCATCTCCCACACGGCCTAGAATAAAGCTGGGCTTTCCATAGCAGGGTCCCAGAAGAATGGATGGTGAATTAATTAATCAGTGAGCAAAACAATGAATGGACAGATCAATAAACTAATGAGCCTTTGGGTAATGAATGGCTTCCAAGTGAGGGTCCAGACACGTAGGGTCGGTGGAAAGGGTGTGGTGTGTGTGACACTGTCTCTAATCGAGTCTCCCGTTTGTCTTTATTTCTGTAACTGGTCATGGCAGGTATGATTGCTCATTGTAAAACATCACGTACGTAAATCCTTTCCGCTCTTTGCCTCTGTCTTACAGGTGTGAGCGGCATCTCTTCACCACGGTGGTGTTTGGTCCGTACCGAAGCCCGGGTGGGGATGTAAAAGCCCCCACTCTGCACATGAGCGGTGCAGGTCAACAGGAACACCTGGCTCCAGCCACGGTCACAGACATGTCAGCCGTGGAGTAGTGTGGACGCTTTCTCGCACCTTCTCAGGGTTTCCGTCCTTCTGGGTTTGTTTCACTGACCTTCTTTTATGGTTTTGAGGCTGGACGTTCACCACCGAGGCCGGCACCATGGGGGATCAGCAGCTCTACAAGACCAACCACGTGGCCCACAGCAGTGAGAACCTTTTCTACCAACAGCCACCACTCGGCGTCCACGGCGGGCTGAACCACAACTATGGGAATACAGTCACGGGGGCCGGCATGGATGCCCCTCAGGCATCACCCATTTCCCCCCACTTCCCTCAAGATACTCGGGATGGTCTAGGCTTGCCTGTTGGCTCCAAAAACCTTGGCCAAGTGGAGACCTCGAGGCAGGGAGGGTGGGGTGGCCATCCAGGGCCTGGAAACCACGTCCAGCTCCGTGGCAACCTGACCAACTCAAACATGATGTGGGGGGCGCCAGCCCAGGCTGAGCCCTCCGAAGGCTACCAGTACACCTACTCCCAGGCCAGCGAGATCCGGACGCAGAAGCTCACCAGCGGTGTCCTGCACAAGCTAGACTCTTTCACCCAGGTGTTTGCCAACCAAAACCTGCGGATCCAGGTCAACAACATGGCCCAGGTGCTGCACACCCAGTCAGCAGTGATGGATGGAACCCCTGACAGTGCCCTCCGCCAGCTGCTGTCCCAGAAGCCCATGGAGCCCCCAGCGCCGTCTGTCCCTTCCCGCTACCAGCCGGTGCCCCAGCAGCCTCACCCAGGTTTCACTGGCGGGCTGTCCAAACCAGCTCTCCAGGTCGGGCAGCTCCCGAGCCAAGGGCACCTGTACTACGACTACCAGCAGCCACTGGCTCAGATGCCAGTGCAGGGAGGACAGCCGCTGCAGGGCCCACAGATGCTGTCCCAGCACATGCAACAGATGCAGCAGCACCAGTATTACCCGCAGCAGCAACAGCAGCAAGCTGGGCAGCAGCGTATGTCCATGCAAGAAATGCAGCCGCAGCAGCAGACTCGCCCGTCACAGCTCCAGCCACAGCCACAGCAGCAGCTGCAGCAGCGGCAGGGTTCCATGCAGATACCTCAGTATTATCAGTCCCCACCCATGATGCAGCACTTGCAAGAGCAGCAGCAGCAACAGATGCACCTGCAGCCCCCTTCCTATCACAGGGACTCCCACCAGTACACCCCGGAGCAGGCACACGCTGTGCAGCTGATTCAGTTGGGCTCCATGCCCCAGTACTACTACCAGGAGCCCCAGCAACCCTACAGCCACCCCCTCTACCAGCAGAGCCACCTGTCCCAGCATCAGCAGCGTGAGGACAGTCAGCCCAAGACTTACCCGGGCGAGAGGCAGGCCCAGGCCATGCTGAGCTCCCATGGGGACCTGGGGGCGTCTGATACAGGAATGGGAGACCCAGCCAGCTTGGACCTGAACCGGGTTAGCAGTGCCCTCCCGCATCGGCCGCTCTTGTCCCCCAGTGGGATCCACCTCAACAACGTGGGGCCTCAGCACCAGCAGCTGTCTCCCGGCGCCATGTGGCCGCAGGTATTCTCACCGTGGAAGTTTTTCCTGGCATCTCGGCGACAGGGCCAGCCAGGCCGAGTCTACACGATGCCCAGTCCTCTCTCCAACCCCTTCAACCCTTTTGTTCTTTATTCGTTCCACACACCTTATCCTACATGTGCCAGGCACTTCTATGTCAGGTGCTTGGAATACAGAATCAGGTTTGACTCCGTCCTTTGCCTATAAAAACCTTCTAATCTCACTAAGAAAATGGCCAAAACACCACATCAGGTCCTGAATGATGGACGTGATGACTAAGGCCTTGCGTCACGTGCCCGGGGACCACAGGGTGGGCGTGTCTGGCTCCCCTTGGATCTGTCATTGGGGCTGTCCTGTGAAATTGTCCCCCTTTTGGGAGGGAGATCACATTATGATAGCACTGCTCAAAGTATATTGCTCAGAACAGGCGTTCCATAGAGTGTTCACTGTTAAATGAATATTGCTGGGGCCAGGCGAGGGCTGGGTTGAGGTTTCTTAAAGTGAAACAGGGCTTCTCGGTGCCTTTAAAATGCTGATGTGCACTGTGACTCTCCCAAAGGGGTACTGCGTGTAGTTACAGAGATGAAACCTTAGCGGCCCACAGGATCCAGGCAGGTAAAGTGAAGGAGTGAAATGGCCTGGGATGATCAGCGGCAGCGGGGTGACTGCGGTGGCCTGGAGAGCATGTCCCCCCCCCCCCAATGGCATTCTCATTCAGGATTTTAACGAACAGTCTGGCCACACAGAACATGTCCGTAGGCCAGACCTAGCCTGTAGGCCACAGTTATTAAACCTTGCTTGTTTCCCAAATGCATTTGACCACAAAGCAGCCAGCTGTGGGCCGGGTATTGCTCATGGGCTGGCATAGTCCAAGTGCTATCCTCGTATGACAGTGCGGTCAGGGAAGGGGAGGACTGTGACCAAGACAGGTTAGGTGGAGAGAGGGCTCTGATGGAGATTGAAGGCCAGAGATGAACTCCCCTTGATTCTGTTTTGTTAGGGGCTCAGGCCCAGTCGTAACTGAGAGCCTTTGTGATAGAAGAATAAGATGACATGGTCAAGGCCGGGAGAGAATTTCAGCAGCAGGTCTCTGATGCTGTTTCACACAGCCCTCCATTCTGTCTCTCCCCGGGGTTGGGGCCTGGCTATGCACAGTCGGGAGTTGAGTCCTGCTGGGCTGTGGCTGGTGGCAGCTCCTAGAGTGGCCGTGGTTAGGGAGCAGTCCCGGGGAGGAAGTCTCAGGAGTGGAAGAGTGCGGGAGTGAGCAGCTGTGAGCACGGCCAGTGCCAGGCGGAGAGCAGGCAGTGCCAGGTGGAAAATGGACAGAGCCTGGGAAGTACGGCCCCGGGGTTCCCCTGCTCAAGGACTCCTCCCGTCAAAAACGCTTTTTTTCCCCTCTTCTTTCTTTCGGTGTCCTGCATGGCTCAACATTAGATGCACCTACCGGATGGCAGAGCCCAGCCAGGGTCCCCTGAGTCAAGGTAGGATGGATGTGAGGTGGCTCATTGGCATTTTGGGAGACTGGGGTTTTTTCCTGCATTGTCCCTCATGATTCATTTCCAAATTCAAAGTCAATTCCTCAAAGAAGTTTATAGGGATAGTAATAGCAGCTGTTGAGCACTGACAATGTGCTAGGCACTCTATATTATGTGTAATCAGGTAACCCAGCGACGGTGGGCGTGATTACCATGTGCCCAGATAGAGTGAGCACTCAACCACGGTTCGCTATTATTTTACAAACGTGAAAACTGAGGCTCAGAGTTTAAAGGTACACATCAAGTAAGCAGCAAAGCTTGTGTCCTGTCTGCTGTCCATTCTTCAGTCAGTATGTATTGAGCACCTACTGTGTGCCCGGCATGGAGCTAAGCTTTGAGAATGCCACCGTGAATACTTCAGACTTGTTTCCTCCCCTCGTGGGCATGGTAAATAATTAAAGGCGTAGCCAGAACCCAGTGAAGCACTAAAATGTGCAGGCTGGAAGCTGAACCCGAGGCTGCATCTCTAAGGGAAGGTTCTGGAAGAAGTGTGCCTAGCTGACCCTAGAAAGGCAATAATAAGCCACCGTAGGAGGAAAAAACTAGCACCTGAGGCCTGGGACGAAGAACATTTTGTTCAACGCTTGCATGACTTTGGACAAGCCCTTTCCCACTCCTGAGCCTGTTTTCCATCTGTAAATCGGGCTTAGCTCTCTTCAGAGTATTGGGGAGATACAGTTGGGGCCGCGGATATGGGAGCACTGAACGAATAAAATGGGTTTGTTGTCGGGTGTGAGGTCCTGGATAAATCCGTTCCCCTTCCTCACGTGCGTGTCCTCTCTGTCTGTCCCTCCCCTGGAGCAGCGGCCAACCGAAAGCAGTGTTTGTGGAACAGATGGATGCCAAGAACAAGCTGACGTGCTCCATCTGCCTGAAGGAGTTCAAGAGCCTGCCTGCCCTGAACGGCCACATGCGGTCCCACGGGGGCATGAGGGCCTCCCCCAGCCTCAAACAGGTTAGCCGGTGCCAGCCGCCTGCCCTTCCCAGGCCATGTGCTGCTTGCTTTGCTTTGCTGCCATCAGAGAGTGAGGTGAGCCCCGTGCGGGCACCTGGGGAGGAACAGTCCTTTCTTAACGGGAAGGCCTGACCTTAGACGCTGGGAGCCAGTCGGGTCCGGCAGCCCCCCCCCCTTCCACCGGCCTCGTGAATGAGGGCCAGAATCAGAAGTGCTGGAAACCCTCTTAGGGAACCCAGCCTCCCACCCCCTGGAGAAGACAGCCAAGAAACATGTAGGTGTGATATTATTTTCAACTTCTGCTTAAAGCAGCCAAGACCAAGGTCACGTGGGCCTTCCAGATGAGTAGTCGATGGCCAGCATGTGGCCACCAGGCTGTCAGCCAGCTTCTGTTCTCCCGTGCAATAGTGTTAGACTCTAGCGTCCAAAGAGCTTTAAATACCTTCAGGATTATCCAGGCAGGATACCCATGTCATGACCTGTCCAAGCAGTTTTAGAGTTAGATTAAAATTCAAAGAATTTCTCAGTTCTTTGAATACTGTTGAGGGATTAACTCCCTGTTCATCAAAGTGTTGCATTACCCGGGCCACTCCATCTCCTGACCATGCCAGATAAAAGCTTTGTCTTCCATTTAACAGATGAGTAAACTGAGGCCCATAGAATGTATTCAAAGGTCCTACACAAGAGGGTGTGTTGTTGGTTTTTTGCCTGATTACAAATCCATATCACTGTCTTTAAAAGCAGTGACAACCACCAAAAAATTTTAACATGTTTTAATATACAAGTGACACATGGTCAAGATATGTAAAATGTAAACAAAAGAGTGCATGGCCTTGTCTGCTGCCCACTGGCATCACTCGAGCCAGGCAGCGCAGTTAGCAGGAAGGAAGCTGCCCCGCAGCGGTTCTCCGTCCCCTGCATGATGTCCTGGACCCTGTCAGGAAAAGCTGAGTGATCCCCCCTGTGAGAGCTGCTCTCAGCCCAGGATCAAAGCCTTTATTGTCTGTGTAGGAGGAAGGAGAGAAGGCCCCGCCACCGCAGCCCCAGCCACTGCCGCCTCCACTGCCACCGCAGCTCCCTCCTGAGGCAGAAAGCCTCACGCCTATGGTCATGCCCGTGTCTGTCCCTGTCAAGCTTCTCGTGCCCAAGCCCAGCTCTCAGGGCTTCGCCAACAGCGTCGTTGCCGCCCCCTCCGCCAGAGACAAGCCAGCCAGCTCGATGTCGGACGACGAGATGCCCGTGCTCGTGAGGATGACCCTCTCTCCCCCACACTCACCCCCAGGGGCTGTCCCCTGCACGCCTGCTGTGAGTTGCTGCTCTGTCCCTCGTGCCTGGGGCGGGAACATCCCTTTGCTTTCTTGGAGATGGGGACAGATCTTCCAGGACCACAGGCCTGAGCTCAGAGAAGGGTTGGCCTCTCAGGGCTGAGCCCCCGAGGCCACCTTGAGAATCCCAGCCTTGCCCACACTGCCCACTACCCGGGAACTCCTGGTCTTCTACTGGCTGATGGTCTGGGTTAGATCCTAAGAGACTGAAGGTGTTCCCAGGTTGAATCAGATCTTAATTCAGCTCATAACCAGAGTTATTAAAATATGCAAATATTATCCCAGACAATAAAACGCTGTTGCCCAGGGTCCTGTCCACCCCCTTTTGGAGCTCTAGACCTCCCCAAATCCAGCAACCAGAGATATAACCCCTGGCACAGCAGGGCCGTCAGGCAGTAGCCCTGGCATCCATTCTGATGGGCAGCCTTACCAGATACTTAACATTTTCCATATCACACCTGCGTAATATACCTTTGGAGGAGCTAATTGCTTATGGTTCCCAAAGTAATTCCACTGACAGACACCCACCCCCAGCCTCAGGAAAGCAAAGAGATTTGTGTTTTTCACCCACTGTTAAGTTCTCATTCTCTTTCTCTAATTCCAAGTGCTTCATCCAGGCAGCTCAGCCTGGCTCTGGAGCAGAGATCTCGCTGTCTCTCAGTTTGTCTCCCCAGGGAGTCTGTAACTCCTGAGGTTGTCCCCTCCCCACAAGTGGTTTCTGGGTCCGATTTGTCCTTGGGAGAATTGATAGCTGCTGGGATTCCAGGAGGCATGAGGGTGGGGCTGACCAGATTAGTAGGGAGGGTAAGTAAGAGAACTAGAAAAATCCACAAAGAGCCTTTTTGGTTCTCTGTGTAATAGCAAAGCCTCAGAAGAGGGGACTGATAGAGAACTCGGGGGGTAAGGAGTCTCATCGCTGGCAGGACCTAAGGTCAGCCACAGGCAGGGCGATGCAATGACAGAGCCAAGCTCCCCCTTTGTCCAGGGAAGTTCCTGATTTGGTGGGAGAGGCGCTCTTTCTACCCTTGGAGAGCTCTCCGCCTGAAGCTGGAGACAGTGAGGTTCCTAGCCCCCCTGGGGTCAGAGCCCCAGGCAGCTCAGTTCCTAACAGCGAGGTAAAGACCAGGGCAGATGAGAAACGGGAAGCCGTGGGTGCAGGGGGACACACCTGGGAGGCCAGAGTGATCAGGGGCTGGGGAGAGAGACAGGGAGTTTGTAGGAGCTTGCTCAGATCATCATGAGGGAGAAGTGGGGAGATAAGCTGAAGTGGAAGCCTGTAGGTGATATTGAGGAAATGTGAGCAAGGTCCTGACATTTGCTATAAAGAAATGAAAATGCCCAGGGAGGATTGCTCCCCAGAGTTCTAGTCCCAGCTCTGCTCGTAGCCAGCTGGGATGCAGGTGGCTGCGACCCCTCTCAGAGCCTCCGGTTCTCTCCAGACCAGGGCTTGGCCTCACGGGAGAGCTTTTGCAATCTCTCAGTGTGTGGCCCCACCTCCAGAGCCTCAGTAGCCTGGTGGGGTGGAACACTGTCACTGCTTCCTCTCAAGTGACATCCAGGCCGGACACTATGGGTGGCTTCCCCGGCCCAGGTCTCACAGCCTTGCCTGGAGGAGAACAGAACCAAAGGCTCAGCAGCGGAGCCCCAAAGGGACCTCTGGCCCTGGGATCAGAGGTCTGGACTCTGGTGCAGGACTGAAGTCATGTGAGCTCTGCACGTGCTCAGATGACCTCATTCGTTACCCAGGAACAGGGTGTAAAATTTCAGGATTGCTCCCCAACGGGTTTCCTCTCCTCGTTCTACTCAGCCCCCCTGTCACTGCCTCAGCCTGAGGCCGAGAAGAGCCCGCTGGTGCGGAGAGGAGGCAGCCTGAGGCCCTCTGACCTCAGGAGAGCCCCTTGGGGATGAGCTGGGAGCCTTGGGGCTCTCTGCTCCTCCTCCTCTCCCCGCCCTCCTGCTTCCCTAGACTGCCCCCCAGAGGCGGGGAGGGCCCCAGAGGACAGACTGAAGCTGAGGGAGAAACAGGAGGGCGCCCCCTGAGCGGGGCAGGCAGCCACAGGGGCCTAGAGAGCAAGGAGCCCAGGACTGGGGACTTGGGCGGGTCACATGGCCTGGAGGCAGTTGGTCACATGACCATGGCCAGCCCTTCCCATCAGCCCCTGCTGCCTTCTACTCAGGCACCAGCCTGGGCTGAGGAATTGCCAGGGGCTGCAGCTGGGGCAGGCACTGGCCTGCAGGACCGGGGAGGGTACCTCAAACTGCCCCCAGCCTTCCTGCAGGTACCTCCACCGCCCCTCCCAACCTCACCTCTGCCCACCCAGCCGCACCCAGCCCTGGGTTCTCCTGGGCTGATGCTGGCACACCACCCAAGCCTGTCTGTCCAGCTTTGGCATGCCCTGCTTACCTATGGACGTGCATGTGTTGACTTATTACTATACATGTGCCCGTGTGCAGGCCTTCCAACGGGCTGGGCTCCGCGGCCGCGATGGGAACTCGCCTGCTGACAGGAAGCCGAGCGGGAGAGGGCATCCCAGATGCGCCTCGGCGCGGGGGCAGCAGTGGGGGGCGGAGGCGGGGTGGGGGGGAGCTTTTAGGGGAGCCCATGAAGAAGGGCCTTCAAGAGCACCCATGATTCCTCAGCACCCAGGGTACCTGGGACGGGGAGCCCAGGGTGGGTGGCCGGCCCTGGGAGCCGGGCGAGGCCCAGCTGCCCTCGTAGCTGATCCTGCCCCCTCCCCCGAGCGTGTTCTCTGCCCCCCAAGCCTGCCCTCAGGGAGCCTTGGGGACTTCAAGGGCCACTCGCTGGATTCCACACCGCAGATGGGAATGCGGGATAAGCCATAAAGAATGCGAACTGATTCCTTCTTGCCCAACCACTGCTCCGACCAGCCCCCGCCCGCTCCAGACGTTCGGGATTTCCTCCAAACCCAAGGCTGCTCCTCCTCGAGCCGCCGGAGCTCGCCTCGTCCGACCATGGACGGGGCTGCTGGGTGCAGCCCGAGGACCCTGGGGTCAGGCCGTGGCAGGGGGTCCCCGGCTGCATAGAGGTTG